AGAGAGAGAGAGAGAGAGAGAGAGAGAGAGAGAGAGAGAGAGAAAACCAGCAAGTGCATCAAATTATCCTGGCGGTCACAAATATACCGGTTTTAACATCTCAAAGAAGTTCAAGTTCAAACACGATTCCACTACACCTACTGTCATTCACAGCATAGAGTCCACAATGAGCGGGGACCAATAGTGACGCATACCAGGTCAACAAACCACTTGAGTTTTTATACTCCCTAAAACGGGCACTGATATGCTCAAAAAACTGGCATGAGACCAGCCAATAACCTGGTACAAAAGACATTAAATAATAAAAAAGACATATTTCACTTTTTTATTTGCCAATTTATTTTATTTTATTTTTGAGTACATTTCAAACCATTTGTATGAATCTGAGCATTTACTAATGAATGAATTATCATTTTTATTATTTTGCACATTTATATTAATGTAAATGTAAAAAAAAGAAAAACAATCCTTTGCATTCAGAAGTAATATTGGAAAGAAACATGCTATCTACTCTTTCTGTCTTTCTGCCAATGTAAGCATGTAAACGGAACAAAACCAATGATGTGGACATTTTCTAAAACACTTCATTCCATACTGTTTAGAATGGCCCACAGTGGCCTGATTTTCTCAGCAGATTTGTCTCTTCCCGTTTTACTGGCAGTTGACAGACAATGTTTCTCCCCAAGCCAGGACTGAATATAGAGGTAAGGGTCAAACATGTTGAGAGGGGGGCCATTAAGGTCAATGAAAAGTACAGCAGAAAGGCTGCTGGCCCAAAGGCGATTCCTTGCATCTGTGGCAGTGGCATTGAGGGCAGAGAAGCCTCTTTCACACTCAGCAGAACTTGCCAGGTATGTTTTACTGGCAATCACCAGTTTTTTTGACCAGTTTTTTTGAGGACCTTCCCATTGGTCATTGTTGAGCTTCCAGATCCTGAAGTCCTCAACTGCTTCCCTACTTGATACTCCAAGCATCTTTGCCAAGCCATGGATCTCTTTCTCCCCAAAGAGAACAAGAGACTCTCTGGATTTTGGCCAGCTGAGGGGATTCAGTGGTGCTACAGTCTTCGTGAGCTTAGTGTCAGGCATTTGTGAAGAGAGACTGTCAATGAGGGCTTGGAGGAACTGCAATCTATTTATATGTTCTTTGCTGAAATGCATGGACACTCCTTTTAATTCTGCTACCTTAAGACCTTCCTCTACTTTGTCCATTGATTTCCCGGGGGTGCTCTTCAAAGCCTTCAACACCTCAATTGTCATATTTATTTCTCATGTGGCGTCCAGAAGAGAAGTGTTTCTGTTCTGAAAAAAGACAACTCTAATATATAATCATGTATTGAGCACCACTTTCACAATTCTTTCTCAATGTAATTTTCTTGTTCAGATTAAAGTAGAAGAAAAATACTACCTACCTGAAGTTTTAGGGATAGACTCCTAAGTTCACGTAGCACATCTTTTATAGTTGCCAGGTCTTTAACAAAGCCAGTGCATGTGAGGCGATTCAATAGGTCATTGAATTTTTTTCTTTCTCCATCAGAGCGTGATTCATCTTCAGCTGCTTTTTTCATTTGTGCAACCAAAGCAGGGTAGTCTCTCCAAACAGCTTGTACAGTCACAAAACTACTTGCTACCCAACGGATGGTGAAAATTTTACCACTCTTAAGCAGGCTGACATTGACTTGAGAGGCTGCCTCTGCAAGTTGTCTTGCATTCTTTGGGGACTGATGGTACAGTGTGTACAGTTTTGAAATAAATATCTCAAAGTGATAGTCGAAATAAACCAATATCCTGGAGTAATTAATTTACTCAAACATTAGTGAACCGGTTGAACCAGTTCACCAAATCGGCCTGAATCGTTTGAAACAGTTCGCGTCTCCAGTATGCATTAATCCACAAATTACTTAAATTATTCACTTTTTTTAACGTGGCTGACACTCCCTCCGAGTCGAAATAAACCAATATCCCGGAGTAATTAATTTACTCAGACAGTACACTGACTGAACTGCTGTGAAGAGATGAACACGAGCAGAGCAGCCACGAGCAGAGCAGCCGGATAACGAACGTACACGCCCACTGCTGGAGCGGTTCTCGTTCTCGAGTCAAGAATCGGTTGCATCGGTTTTTTGGATCACCAGTACACTGAACCAAGAACCGTTTCTTTCGATCGTTCAGTTGAAGATTCTGTTAGGTTATAGGCCAAAGGGGTTTGTCAGGGAAGTTGCTAATGTTATGAGCGCGGGTAAACTGAAGACTTGAATGAAGGGCAATCTGGCGAAACGTACATTTATTTAATAACAAATAAATCGCAATGGATTATGTATAGTAAGTGGATTATGGTTTCTGCGCTGATGACAACTAATTTATTTACTTTATATCTTCAAGACTTAAATCCTCGTATGCACATCACTGCCTGTTACTGTGTTTGGGTGCTTAGTTGCAAACTTTTCAGATCATGATTATGATGTTTTAACTGACTGAAGTTATGATTACTGACTTTATATATTTGAATGTGTATTTTCATCCCGGCCCGGGACGATAGACTTGATATCATTGTCATCGTGAATGACGTCATTACGTTAGGGCGTAAAAGAACCGATGAACCGTTTTTTGAACCTGTTCATTGAAACGAACTGTCCAAAAGAACCGGTTCGCGGAAAATAACCGGACTTCCCATCACTAACTGTGACTGAACAACAGCTCCACCCCTATTATGGAGGCTCACACAATAATTTTTTTATTAAAAATTATTACATTTTTTACCTAATTAATCACATACTTTTTCTGTGATTAATCGCGATTAATGACACACGTCATGAAATTAAGCATAGACCATTTATCTTGTTTCAAAGGTTTATGTTGTCATCATTTGCTATATCCAGCAAAGTAAACCAATAGATTGAAGGGTGATTCTCAAAAATCTATATTTTCTGCAAGCTTTTTTTCAAGATAAATTTAGATGTCTTTCCAAAAAAGGACACTTAGAAACTCCAAAAGGACACCAAAGAACCAAATGATATAAGGAGCCCATATAAGCACATATACTGTATATTTTATAGTATGTGTACAGTGCAACACCAAAGAGTTTTTTTACATTTTAGACAAGCCAAGTTGCGATACCGAACAGTACCACATGGAGATGCCAAAAAAAAAACTAAACCAATGGCCTGCTGGCTGCATATATCTACTACAGTACACGGATCCATTCA